TGAGTGGGGGAGGAGGTTTAGGAGGCGGAGCGGGGAGGGAGGAGCTGGGGGGAAGCAGGGTACTCAAGAAAGGGGGTGGTGGACCCCACTGTCCCTGCCCGCCGCAGCCTTACAGCCCAGCTCCAAGGCCATGCCAAGCAGAGGGGAACGCAGCTGAGCCGGCACCGGGGTTCAGCCCTGGCTCCCCGGGCAAAGAGGACTCGAGTGGTGAAATGGAGTGGACCAGATAATTCAGCAGCTGTCCCAATAAGCCGTGGGCACCGAGGGCTCCCCACTGCCAACATGCCCCGGGGAAAGCCAGAGGGGCATCCCCAGGGGCTCCAAGAACAGCAGCCAGGCTGCAAAAAATAGCTTTGTCGTAAAATACAAAAAAAATCTACAAAAATCAGTTTAGAAACCCATTTTTTCCCCCACCCTTAAAACATCAAAAAAAGAAAAGAAAAAAGAAAAAAAGAGAGAGGGAGATAGTATCAGGGTCTCCTCCACTGAAATGCAACCCCTGGCCCGCAGCCAGAGCGGGGAAGGAGGAGCAAGAGGGGCACAGAGACAACCCAGGAGGGCTGCGAAACCGTTCTATCAGGTTATATCACAAGGGTGGGGAGGGCTGGTTCGGGAAGAAGGCAGAAGGCTCCTCGGGGTTGGGGTAGGATGCTGCGCACATCAGCCCTGGGGTGCCGGGGCGCTGCTAGAGCCGTCGGCCCTCGCGGCGCTGCCGAGGAACGGGGCCTGGGTCAGAGACTGCGTCTTTAGCTCCCATCGCCCCAGAACATCGCACCGGTGCTCAGCGGGAGGTGCCAGCCACGGGCAGTCCTACGCACTAGCCCTTGGACAGTGAGGGTGGGACTTCGGCAGTGACACACACCAGGCGTTTTAGATTCCTCCAATTTGCGTGTGCGCACACGTCTGGTTTCCTGTTTGGGTTGGGTTGTTTGTTGGTTTTTTTTTCCCCCCCTCACGAACAGCAAAAAATATTCTTTACAAAACCATATTTGCCCAAAGTGGATGCGCTAGTGCTCGTGGCTCTGGCGGCTGGCCGAGTCAGTAAGCGAAGCCCTCCGCGTAGGGGAGGCTTCCGCAGGGATCCATCTCCAGGAGGTACGCCGGGCTGTCCTCGAAGTGTGTCAGCGGCACCGTCTCCTCCTCGGGCACCGGGCAGTCGGGCTCCGTCTTCAGGAAGGGACGCTGGTTGTCGGGGTAGGCCATGGAAAAGAGGGCGTCGGGGTCGCAGACGAACTTATAGACGTACCGCTCGCCGGCCACCTGCGAGGAGGAGGAGGCAGCATGAGAGGTGCCCTGCACCTTCTCCCCTGGGGAACAACGAGCATGGCACAACCAACACCAGAGCTAGGAGGGCCTGGGGATGCTGGGGTGACAGCGGGGGACGGTGACACCCTCCACCCCCCCGCCCCGTGCCAGCAGGGTCACTCGCCTTCTGCATGATGCCCTTCTCGTAGTAGTAGCGCAGGGAGCGGCTGAGTTTGTCGTAGTTCATGGCCGGTCGGTTCTTCTGGATGCCCCAGCGCCGCGCTACCTGGGGGGAGAAAGGAGACAGCTGTGAAGGCTCCACCCGGGGCTTGGACATGTGTCCTCAAGGGAAATCGCAACCGAAACGCCGGGTAGGGGTTCATTTCTGGGGCTGGAGCAGCCAGGGGGGAAAGCATCACTGCAGCCTTGGAGCAGTTCCTCTCCTGCCGTGATTCATGCTCCAGCTCCGAGCGCCGGCTGCCACAACACCACCACCAACAAACCGGGGGCCAAATCAAAAGACATTTCATTAGGGGAGGCTGCCAAAAAATCCGCTTCAAAAAACCACAATTTCCATGCACAGCATAAGAAATATTATGGGTAATTACCCACAATGCGCAGCTCGGCGCTGCAGCTGCTTTCAATTACTCCCCAAACAGCTTCTTCCTCTGTGTCACCCTCCTGCAGAGCTGCATGGCTCCGGCACGGCATCGTGCCAGCACGGAGCTGCTGCCCGGGAGCCAGGACAAAGGCTCAGAGCAGTCTGGGAGGGACGAGGGAGCCATGGCCGAGCAGCAGGTACCCAAGCTGCGACACAGAGGCAACGCCGCTGCGGCCGGGGACCGGCTGCGGGAGCTGAGCACGTGCTGCGCCGAGAGGCAGCGGAAGAGACGAAAGGCAAATTTCTACAGCTGCTTAGTGCAGATGGGCAGCTGGCTTTTCCCCTCTCGTCCTCAAAACCTGCCCAGAGACCAAGACACGTGTCTCGTTTCAAGCGCAAGCGTCAACTGCTGCATTGACTCCCCTTCTCTGGAGACATTCAAGACCTGCCTGGACAAGGTCCTGTGCAGCCTTCTCTGGGTGACCCTGCTTTGGCAGGGGGGTTGGACTAGATGACCCACAGAGGTCCCTTCCAACCCCTACCATTCTGTGATTGCACAGGAAGGACCAGGATCCGGCCCCAGCCCCAGCCCCAGGGCACCCCAAAGTGGGGCAGGACCCCCTGTACCTCCTCAGGCTCGATCAGCTTGAACTCCATTCCCCGGCCGGTCCAGGCGATGAAGTGGGCGTTGGCAGGGTCGTCCAGGAGGGTGACCAGGAACTGCCAGAGCTGCAGGGACCCGCGCCGCTGGTAGGGAGGGCCCTCGCGGTACAGGGTGGGCTCCTGCTTCACTTTACCTGCCCGCACCGAGACACAGCTGGTTAGACACCCGGCGCTGCCCCTCTCCTGGGACACGTGCAGCAACTCGGGGCTCGCCCCGGTGCTGGGACCCCCCGTGCAGGGTCAGGCCCCAGGGCTGGCGTGGGGAGATGTGCTGGGAATGGGGCTGCAGGCAAGGCGAGGAGCAGGCGGCAGGGATGAGGCACGGCGGCGATGCCCAGC